ACTCCTCTCTCTCTCTCTCTCTCTCTCTCTCTTCCCCACAGACCCTATCAGATCCCGTTCAGACTAGCATGAATCACGAGGGTGGAATCACTCGCCTTCCTCTCTCGTTGGTGACTTGGGTTGGAGAGGGTAATGGTGGAGGGAAAAAGGAAGCGCGTGATGATGATACCTGAGCTTTTCACATGCAACATCATGCCCCGTGCTATGTCGGGCACATCGTTTTGGCGTGGTGCAGCCGTCGTCTGCCTTTGGTCCCCCTTCCCCCCCCCCCCCCTCCGCCATTGATTTGATGTTGCCTGTCTCAGTTAATTTAACCAAACCTAGAAATCATTGTATCCACTCTCCTGCTTCGATGTTTCATGCTTCTGTTTGCTCGATCCTCTCTTCAAACTTGGCAAGGAAGCAAGTGGAAATATTTCATGGACCGACAAGATGCAACGTTTCCATGCCCCCAGCCCACTGTTCAGGTGTTTGCATGAATTAATGGAACGTGACAAAAGAAGAAAAGCATTGCACGTATCACCACAAACAATTACATCACTCAATATATCGTAGTATTTTCTGGTGGTAGTAGGAAAGCCAGTGGCACGCCACCTCCTACTCCATATTACTTATCATTTGTCTCAAGATATAAGAGAGAGAGAGAGAGAGAGAGAGAGAGAAAATCCGTCCAACTTTCTGTTTGGACTTTGATAGTGATAACGTGTACTCATATGTAAAATTTATTTTTTTCTTATAAATAATTTATATTTTATTTTAGTTTTTAGGACCAACCTTATTTTTCTCTTTGACTTTATTCTTGGATCCCATCTCATTCATTCGTCAGTCTCAGGTAAATGAAAGAGGGGCAAAAAAAAGCGCCTTTCCTGCAAAGTTGTTCCGGTGACAATTAAACTATGGTCCCTCTGCCTATGCAAAATTGTAAAGCGTGTCCCCTAAACCTTCCCCGCTTTCCCTACATATACATCTCTCTTTCTCCGTTTGTTTTGGACTTAGTACGCACTCGCTGCAGTCTCTCCTCTGCTTCTCCGGTCGCGAAGAAGACGATATGAAACGAAACAGAGCAGAGGTCGCGCCAAATTTCGAGGTTCTTCCCGCAGATCCCGCCAAGGCCCAGCGGCGGACTCAGGACTCGGCGGTCCACAGTACGGGAACGAGGGCGAGGAAGGCCGCGGCGGTGTCGACGGAGAAGCCACGTGAAGCTCGCGGAGAAGACGAAAGTCTGGCCAGCGGCGTGGCGGAGGCTTCTCCACCACTGGCTGCTGCGGTGGTGGCGAAGGAGGAGGAGGGATCTGCGGGGTGGGATGGGGCGGCGGAGTTGGGCGGTGGGAACGGCTGGTGGTGGTGGTGGGGGTGCGTGGAGGAGGAGAAGCTGTTAGGTTGGTTTCCCTTTGCGAACGAAGACTTCAACTATTGCGAAGGCAGTGGAGGGGGAGAATTAGGAGATCTCTTGTGGGAAGAGGCGGACCATGATATTTGGCAGCTGCAGCACATATACGAGATCCCAAACACCACCAAACAATAGCAGAAAGACGGGCTTTTTCGGTTCTTTCAGTATGGAATGTACGAGATACACTGGGAATGGGATCCAAATGGTCCAAGCTAGTGAGAAGAGTCGGCTCTGGGGAGGGATTAAAGGAGCTTCCTTTATTTGCCTAAGACGCCTTCTGCTGTCAGAAAACGGCGTGATTTCAAGGTGATGTTTCTTTGGTTTCTCTGTTCCTCTTCCTCCCAGTTGTTCATGTCTCTTTCCTCGCTGAAGGGTGAAAGGTCGTTTTTCGGGTGCGAGATGACCACAATGTAGCTGCTGTAGTATCTGGTACTTGGAATGCTATGTGATACTTGTCCTACAACGGTGTAGTTTAATGAGATTTTGCCGACTTTGCTTGCTGTGGAGGACCCAATAAGCTAATTAGCAATACGAGTAAGGAGTGTTGCTGTGTTACATTTGCTGCTCAAATGATTTCTATCCCTCGAGAGTTTCTCGGTAGAGCCATAATTGGGTCGGTCAAAAGCGATTGACAGCTTGAATAATGGTGAATTTGGCTTCGGAAATCCATCTGGCACTGTCATCTGGTCATGTGAGTCTGTTGCATTAGCCGTCTCTTGGATTAGGTAAGCGATCTCTGCCCCTTCGTGTATGTCATGTGCTCATCTCGCATGTTAGTTTTGTCTTCAACATACCACGTAAAACACATTCCGCTCGATGTTCTCCAGATTCAAAGATATCTGGGTACTTTCTATGTGCTCACTGATTCAAAGATTCAAAGACTTGGCACCAAGGCTGAATCTGGTCCTTCATGACCTTGTATTAATGGGACGAATTAATTTTCTAGAAAAAGTTTCTTATTTTTAAAATTTAGTAACCCTTTTCCAAAAATTTCTGCAAAGAATCCTAAATTATCAAAATGATAAAATTAACCTTCGACCACTTTTAGTCTTCTTCCTTGGAAAAACTATATCCTCCTTATCCCGTTCCAAATTGAACCAAACCATTTAAATAAACTGGTTGAATCAATCCAAACCTTGGATCGATTTAAAATATAATATTAAATAATTTATTAATATATAATTTATTTTTTTTTTATATTAATAATATATAATTATTTTTTAATTTATTTTATAGTTAATTACATTGTTTTTAATTATTTATTATATTTTGTTATTTTTATAATTTAAAATACTTTTAATAAATTATTTATTTTAAATGAGTGGGTTTGGTTCAATTTGAAAAGAGAGAAAGGAGGTAGCTTTTTAGAGAAAAAGATAAAAAGTGGTTGAGGTTGCCATTTTGTCATTTGAAAACTTGAGTTCAACGTGAGAATGTTTGAAAAAGGGGGCGATAAATGAGAATTTCATAAAATAAGAGAGATATATATTTTTTACAAGGTTTACCCTTATTATTTTGTATATATATATGTATAGTAATTTTTTTTATGTTGGGGGTTCAAAATCTTAATTGATAAATTTTGTAACAAATCATTTGGGGTCTAAAACCTCATCCGATTAATAAAATACACTTATGATCAAAATTTATCATTCAATTATTACATGTACATAATTAGAGGGATCACAGGGACTGTTTGATCAAAGAGTTATGTTACTTATTTGTTGCCTGTATTAACTTTATTATCCTAGTTATTAGTTGCATAAAAAAGATTTAGATTGCTTGCATAATCGTCTTTTTTACTGGTTGCATGATTAGAGGGATTATTTTATACGAGTTAGACAACATCTCGGGGTGTTTATACTACTTCCAAACCTTTTTTTCTAGCAAAAGTTATTTATCTCCGATCTACTATACAAGCAAGAGAAATACATGAATTTTAACCATACAATTTTCAAGAGATTTTGGCCAAGGATGAGAGGAACAGCTTATGGTTGTGATGGGTGACATGGGAGTGCCTAAGAAAATTCAAGTGATGAGGACTATCATAATAACTTGGCATTCTTGATAACAAAATTTAAAAAAATTCATAAAAAAATAAATTTAAAAATAACTTTAAAAATAAATTTGAATATAAGAAAGAACAAGTTATATACTACAAATGCAAGAAGTTGGGACATTTCAAAAACGAATGTTCCCAAGCAAAGAAGAAGTAACCAAAGAAGAAGAATACTCTCGAAGCAACTTGGGACGATTCAAGTGCATTCAAAGAAGAGGAGCCAACCAACACCGAGCAAGTTGCTCACTATGCACTAATGGTTATCGGAGATTAGGTAAGCAGTTCATTAGATACAAATTTATCTTTTGATGAACTACTAAGTGCTTTTCATGATTTATTTGATGAATGTAAATTAGTCAGTAAAAAATATAAATTGTTAAAAAAGGAGCATGCCTCTCTTGTTAGCAATTTTGATAGACTAAAAATTGATCATAACGATATTTTAACTCCTTATACAAAATATAATGAATTAGAAATGCTTAAAAAGGAAATCTTGCTATGAAACCTTAAAAAAGTTTGAGGTTAGTAAGAAGTCCTTGAACATGATCCTTGCTAATAAGGGTTAAGTTCATAGAAGAGGCGGAATCGGATTTGTGAATAGCTCTCACCAAAATCCAACCACCTTTGTTAAAGGCCCTACCTTGCATGTATCACCCCACACCAAATATAACTTTTGTTGCAAACTTGGATATGTTACCTATAAATGTCCACTTAAGAGATATAGTCCACATAGATTGATTTAAATTTCTAAAGGACCCTCAAATGACTCAATGCAACATGATAAATTGTGTAGATCAATTTTTGAGGCACCCAAGGTCAAATGGGTACCTAAAAATCAACATTTTTTATAAAAATATTTATCATCACAAGCTAGAAGCAAGAGATGATACATTGATAGTGGATGCTCAAGACATATGACTGGAGATCCATCTCAATTATCTAAACTTACTAGCTTAAACGAAGGGTATGTAACATTCGGAGACAACAACAAGGGTAAAATCATTGGCAAAGGAACCGTAGATAACAAATCCAACTTTTTGATTGAAGATGTATTATTGGTTGATAGCTTAAAGCATAATCTTACGAGCATTAGTCAATTATGTGATGAAAGATACATTATTAGATTTGAATCCAATGCTTATATCATTGAAAAATCACACAAAAACACATCCATGATTGTCCTAAAATAAAATAATATATACACTTGACATTGATGATCTTTATAATGAAATGTGTTTTTTGATTTTGAATGACGATGCTTGGCTTTGGCATAGGAGATTAGGTCATACTAGTATGAAACTAATCTCTCAAATATCATCTAAAGAACTTGTAAGAGGTATTCCTAACATTAAGTTCGTTAAAGATAATGCGTGTGATGCATGTCAACTAGAAAAACAAATAAAATGTAGTTTCAAATCAAAGAATCGAATAAGCACCTCTAGACCATTGTTATTGATCCATATGGATTTATTTGGACCAATTGATACATCAAGCCTAGGAGGTAGCAAATACACCTTTGTCATTGCAGATGATTATAGTGGATATACTTGGACGTACTTCTTGGCACACAAAAGTGATTGCTTTAGGTATTTTTCTAAGTTTTGCAAACTTGTTCAAAATGAAAAAGGCTTTATTATTTCATCAATTCTGAGTGATCACAGTGGTAAATTTCAAAACTGTGATTTTTAAAATTTTTATGAATCAAATGGATACAACCATAATTTCTCTACTCCGAGAAATCTTCAACAAAATAAAGCAGTAGAAAGAAAAAATAGAAATTTACAAGAAATGACAAGAACCATGTTAAACGAACATAGCCTACCCAAATATTTTTGAGCCGAAGCCGTTAATATGACATGCTATATCATTAATAGGATTCTAGTAAGGCCATTACTTTCCATAACTCCTTATGAATTATGGAATGATAAAAAACTCAATGTTTCGTACTTTAAAGTTTTCGGTTGTAAATGTTTTATCTTGAATGAAAAAGATACCTTAGGAAAGTTTGATACAAAATCCGATCAAGAGATTTTTCTTGGCTATTCTTCTAGTTCAAAAACCTTTCGTATTTTTAACAAAAGAACTTTGGTTATGTTGAATCTCATATTTTGATGATGAAACCAATTGATAATTGTGTTTATGTTTTAATCTGCATTTTGAGTGACGTAGGATGCTTTGGTAAGGATGAGATAATTAAAGCAAGAAAAATCATGTTGGGCTAGAGGAACATGTCAGAAGATTAGACGTCGGGCCGGTGGATCAGTCGACGTATCAACAGAAGGCTTCGGGCCATGGATTCGGGCATCGGGCCAAGAATAGCGGGTACTGCGCCAAGGATATCGGATTGCGGAGTCAATTGGCCGATTGGGCAATAGGCCGCAGGAGAGGACGATGCATCGAAGAATCGGACGAAGCGTCGAGGGACCAATGACATGCCGGACAACTTGATTAATGCTTAGTATTAATTATCTAGATCGAAGTTTGTTTTACATGTGCAGGATTAACTACGATGGCAGTAAGACATGCAGTAGGAGTTACGCCGGAGTCAAGACCATGATCACGTTGGGGTTTCGAGAGTTCGATGGAAGTCCGAACGGTCGTCAGAGGTTCTACGGGAACAAATCAGAGAAGTCCAGGAGCTTGCCAAAGAAGCTCGTCGAAACTCACCAAGGGGATCGTTGCAAGTCTAGGAGTTTGTCGGAAGTCCGCAGGAGCATCGCTGAAGGTTCGTCGGATGTTCGCCGGAAGAAGCGATTGATGCACCGGAGCAAGTTGCAGTAAATATCTTAAGAAATATCGTAGTTAGCATGTAGATTAAGTTAGGAATGGGAGGTGATCCCATTAACTTAATCTGGGGGCAATGGGGCCCTTGACAGACCCAAATTAGGCCGAATGGATCAGCCCATTCAGACCCAGATTTCCTGGCCGACAGTGGCACCGCTTAGGTCGGTGGTGGCAACGCCCAGGAGCTCAATCTCCCAGGAAAGCTGAGTGGTGCAACCGCCCAAGTTAGGTGGTGGTACCGCCTGAGCTCGGTCTCCGAGCAAAGTCAAGCGGTGGTACCGCCTGAGCTCGGTCTCCGAGTGGTGTCAGGCGGTAGTACCACCCAGTTATGGCGGTAGTACCGCTAGGACCCCGAAAAACTAGGAAATGACACATTTGGGCTCCAAATTCAAATCAGTTGAGGCCTATATAAACCCCACCCTTTCCTGTATAAAAGGGCATAGAAAAAAAATCGAAAGCTTGATCTTACAATGTGATTTTAGAGCTCAAAAGTGTTGTAAAGGCCAAAAGTTCTCCTCCCTCTTTTCTTCCAAGTTTTGATCATTCAAGAGAGGAGAGAAAATTTTGTAAGGGTTGTCTCTTAAGCCCATCAAAAGGAGTGAAACTGTAAAAGGGTGGTTGGCATTCGCCTATTGAAGGAAGGCCTCTAGTGGACGT